GCATTAAATTGGGTGGTAGCAATAAGAGGAGGTGCGAGGGGACCATCAAAATACATCAAAAAGAAAATAAAAAGAAAAAAAAAAGGTTAATTAAAATACCTAGATATCTAAATGATTAAGTGACATTATTATAACTGTATTTATAGTTTATAGAGGAAAATGTTGGCAAATTTGACTAAAAATAGAGAATTTCAACAGAAATTTGGAATCTATTAAGAAGTATCCTAGGACCAAAGTATCCAATATTTGAAATGAAAAGTCACTGAACAGATCTTACTCAAGCTTACATGGACAGTTGCCCACAGAGCTAGGACAGAGCCTGGGTCTCCCCTCACCTGCCCTCTGTCTCCTCACCAGCCCTCTGTCTCATCTATCCTGCTCCAAGGGGAGTCTGGAAGCCCAGGGTTCATAAGAGAAGGGATGGGGCAAGGCTTTCTTTTCCTTCCCCATTCCTATAGCTGATAGCATCATTTCATCAGCTGATTATCATCTATCAGAGGACATTTGTCAGCCTCCTACTTGTGAGGTGTGGCCTGACTCTCCATTAACAATGAAGGCTCCTCCACTGTGGATACCCTCTTGAAAGCATGCCTGAGGGTCACCCCACTACCCAAGTAGAAAAGCAAACTACAGAGAATTAGCTCACAGTGACCCAGACCCAATCTGCCAAACCCATCGGGTACCAAACACCCAAAGAGGTGCAACCTACATGTCCATGAATGTCTTTAAAGCTTGAAGAAGTCACCTGTGGATTAAATGTCTTGAACTTAGGCCAAGCTGGGATTCAAAGGGCAGAAGTTCAAAGCCACTGAGTCCAATTGCATCCTCCCCTCCTCTGTCTCATTCTTATGAAATGGTGAGAGAGGTAGGTGCTGAAGTCCAGAAACAGAAGCCAGCAAATTTCTTTGCAGAGGTGGGTCTTGAGCCTCACATGTCCTGCCTGTCACCCAGCATTCCTTTGGGGCAGTATGACTCCATATTCTGGCCATCCACAACTACTTGCTATCACCTGTGCTTCTGTGATACTTCCTCAGACATTACCTCCTCCAAGAAGCCGTCCCTGGTCCTGGCTAGCTTAGGGGCTCTCAAAGTCCCCGTGCCTCCCTTTGCCATCATCACAATCACACTGGATTGGCCCAGTCTAGGCTATTAATGCGGCTACGGCTCCATCAGCCAGGAGCACTTTCAGGGTGGTAATGGAATCTGTTTCCACTGAATAATGCACTTCTGCCCTTCCCCAGAGCTGGCAGTGCAGGCAGAAGCCACTGTGCAGCTGCCTCAACTCCCTTCATTTTGCTGATGATCATGAAATAGCAATGAAAGCCATTAGTGATGAAATCAATGAAACAGTTTTAACCTAACCCCTTTATCATATGGATAGGGACATA